TGTGTGTGTGTGTATATATATGACACTGTATATGCAAGGTGGGAAGTCCAACCCCAGATTTTTTTTGTATTGTGCATTTGAATGAATCATGTTGTGGGTGATATGCCCTGGAAAGAATCTTGGTGATAGAGCTCTGGCACCTCCTGGGGATGTCCCTAATTTTGCTAATTTTGGACAGTGAAGTAAGAGATTTTTTTTTTAAATGCATCCTTGAAAGAAAATGATCAGAATTTGGCAGCATTTTTTCCTTAAGGAAAACAAAAGATTTATTTTTATGTATATATGTGTTTTGCTTGTGGGCATGTATGTGCCATGTGTGTGCCTGGTATACACTGAAACCAGAAGGGGCATAGGACCCTTGAGTTGAAACTTTTATGTGGATGCTGGGAATTGAACCCAGGTCCTTTGGAGGAACAGACAGTGCTTTTAATTGCTGAGCCATCTTTCCAGTCTCCAGTTTTATTTTTAAACTGCATACATTTTGATTGATATGGGGACCTTTTAACATAGACATTTTGATAAATTATTGTTAATTCCTCATGTATTCTGTGAATTTTTTTTTAACCCTGGTGCCTGATAGAGTGCCTTATACAGAGTATGCAATCAGGAACTGCTTCGTAAATTGCAACTTTCTTATTCAAACATTGTAAAATCTCTTATCATTTAAAGTATCAACAGGTACTGAAGTATTGAAGTATCAATTCTGGTCAAGACACACTAATATAACTATATTAAATGTGTATACATTGTATGGGCTACTCTCTTAGTTTGAGAGGGGGTATGGAGGATGGAATAAACAAGGTCATTAGTTTCTTTCCTGACAGGAAAAACTAAGTATTTGGATTTCTGTTTTATTATTGTTCACAGACAATGTTCTTTGTATAAGGAACACTTTTAAAAGGTTGCCAACATTTGAATAGCAGAAACTCTTTCTCTTTAAGCTTTGAATTTTGCTTCCTTTGGTAACTCCTTCAAACTTCTAATTAGGAGTCCTAAAACAACTGCAAATAATACTAGAATCTGTCTTTTCTATAATGCAGTAAGACTTTTGATGGGTGGTGAAGACAAAGAGGACCTGGCTGGGAAATGCCAGGAACTGCTTGTCTCTACATCCTCTTTAATTTGGTAGTAAATGTCATTGATATGCAATGCTACAGATACTCTTGCATTCAGGACTCCAAATTGCTCAGTCTGATGCAAGTGAGAATAATAATTTAAACCAAGGGCTTTCAAATGATCTTTTCCTGTAGTCCTTAGAAGCCTGGCCTTATCTCCATTTTACAGATTAGGGAATTGACGTACTGGCAAACCGGGTAATGCGCCCAAGGTTGCATATCTCTAAGTGGAAGAATTTATCAATCCAGGAATAAGAAGCTGACTTTGGAGCCCCACTTCCCCTTTTCTTGTTAGTTGTTTTGTTTGTATTTGACAAGTTCTATTATGTAGCTCTGGGTGTTCTAGAGATCACTCTGTAAACCAGGCTGGTCTTGAACTCAGAGCCCCAGGCCTCTGCCTCTCCAGTGCTGGATTAAAGGTGTGTGCCACCACATTTAGCCTCTTTGTCAGTTATAAATAATACGGTGTTGACTGTATAAAACTGTAAATATTAAAACAATGCTCTAAAGTACCTATGGCATATTCCCTTACACCGTGGTACTATTATTGATGTATTTTAATAACTATCATGATGCTGAGATTTTGTATTTATAATTTTAAGTGCTGTTCTGTCTTGGTATACTAGACAATTTTGAAAGCCAAAGAATTATCAAGCAGAAATCAAATTGCCATATTGATCTTTATTGGTTGGCATTTCCATTATTGTTTTGAAAGCAGAAGGATCAAGCAATGAATTGTGAAAGCAACGTCTTCAGGAAGTGAGACCAAGTGTCATGTTCTCCATTCTTGCTCTTCTTTTCATTCTCACCCTATCTGTCCAGCAATCAGAATGTCTGTCCTCAAAATACAAGCTCCTGAGTGTGGTGCCCAACAGTATCTAAGTGCTTTTGCTCTGAGTATCCAATAGCTATGGTGTTGGTAGCTCAATGGTGGTGCCTCTATCTAAGCTCTGCAATAAGTTAGCAGTTCCAAGGACCAGTAGAATTCAGATTTTAATTTATCTTAAATGTAGAATTACAAAATCCAAACTAATAAATCATATATATTACATCTTGGGAAACATTTATACAAATGTTTCAATGAATCAATGTTAATGAAAAATTTGAAAATCTGCATTGGAGACACACAAGCTATGTTGAATTAGTATGGTAATGTGTTTAACCTTGCTCATTGTTATTCTTATATTAGAAAGTTAAAGCTTACAGAAATTAGTTTTTCAGATTTAAAAACCTTAAATTTAAAAAAGTCACCTCAGTCGGTTTTGATTACATCCTTCCGTTGGTATTCCAGGACCCCACAGAATCCCAAATGGACAGATGCTCAAGTCCCTTCTATAAAATGACACATAACCTATACACACCTCTCAGTCTACATCACATCATCTTTGGATTACTTATAGTACTTACATAAAATGTAAATTCTATGTAAATAGTTGTTACATTGTATTTAGGGAAATTTAAAAAATATGTAAACGTTCAGTATGAATACAGTTTTTAAATTATGGAAAATATATTCCAATCTTCAGTTAGTTGAATCTGTAGGTGTACAGCCTGAGTGTTCAAAAAGCAACTGTCCTTTGATAAACACTCAGCAGATTCCATTTTTGGATTTCTTGGTGTGCAATCCAGGAAAAAAAAACCTATACATACATTTCTAAATGTGTCTAACAGAAATTGTGTTTATGCTTTATTTATTTAAGACAAGTGCTTACTGTGTTTCTCAGTCTTATCTGGATTACAGTATTGCAGATACTCTTGCTTCAGCCTCCCAAGTAACTGGGGACTCTGGGTGCATACCACACCCAGCTCAAGCGGTTAAACTTTCGCTTATATCAAACCCTTTTCACCAAGTCCTGACTGTAATATATTATGTAAACATTTCCATATTCACTTTTGCTTTCATTTAAACATTTAAAAGGGTTTTGTAAGTTAGACATTTCAACAGAGATGTTGCTCACATCTGTCTTAATTGCAAAAAAAAAAAAGCCAACAAATAGATAGTAGCAAGTACAGAAAGCCAGAAAGCTCACCTCCTCAGCTAGTTCCAGAAGGCACTTGTAAGCCAGAGGGGTTTGAGCAGGCTAGAAAAGTGCTACTTTACTGAAATAACAGAATAATAGGAACATTTATTAAAGGCTCCTGGTGGTGGTCCACTCCTATGCTTATTTGATGTTCCGGGAGGGGGTGAGTTTATATGCTAGTGCTTAATTTAGTGATCCAAATCTGACCAGCATCTTTGGTATATTCCTTAAGCCCTGGGGTCTCATCCGATCCTAGGAAAAGACAACCATAGAGAGAGACTAACAACAAGTTTAAAGTGATACACTGATTTTGTGACCCCCTTTTTGCTGGAAAAGAAATTCAGATTCCCAGGACACAGTGTGTCCCTTCAGTTGTGGGCACTGAGGTACACGTGCCTGACTTGCCATGCAGCAGGGGCTTGATGCAGACACCTGGGCTAACACCTGGGTGGCATTTTCACACCTGCCACTGGCAGCTTTGGTTTCCGGGCGTCCGCACAGCGGCGGCTTCCCATTCATGCTCCAGCTACTGTGCAGCCTCCCGCAAGCCCAGAGCGAAATGCTGGTGCCGGGGGCACCGGAGGGAAGGCCTGGGCGACGCTTTCGTCGCTACGCCGGGGCCGACCGGCAGGCTCTTCCATAGGTGGCTGCGTTTCCGACTTCGCCCTGGCTCCACTCCGGGGGCTTGACGTGCAAACTTCGCCGGAGCGAGCAGAGAGGGAGGGACCGGCGAGGGGGAGGAGGCGACAGGAGGCGCCTCCGCTTAAGGGAGCCGGCCGGGCGCCGCCGCTCGGACGGACGCGCGGACGGAAGGAAGGAGCGGGGCTGCCGGCCGGGCCGGGATGCGAGCGCCCGCAGGGTGGGCAGCCGCGGGCCGGGGCGCGGGCGGGCCTGAGGTCACGGCAGGTCGGCTCCGGGCGCTGGCCTCCCGAGGCGGGCCGAGCCGGGCAGCCAGCGCTGCAGTGGCGGCCGCAGCCGGCGCCCTACGAGGGCCGCGGGAGGCGAAAGCGAAAGCCAGCCGCGCCGCGGACTTTGCGCCCGGGCGGGGGCGGCAGCGGGGGCCGGGGGCTGTCAGCACCGCCGGCCTGCGGGCCGCGCACGCCGCCGGAACTCCGTGGAGCCTCCTTAAAAGCGGCCCCCGCGCCACTCTTTTCCCCCTTTTTGTTACATTGTAGGAGCGGAAAGAATGTCGGAGCGGGCCGCGGATGACGTCAGGGGGGAGCCGCGCCGCGCGGCGGGCGGAGCAGCGGCCGCCCGGCAGCAGCAGCAGCCACAGCCTCTGCAGCCCCAGCGGCAGCACCCGCCGCCGCGGCGCCCACGGCCGGAGGACGGCGGCACCGGGGCCGCCACCACCTCGGCCGCCGCCATGGCGACAGTGGGGGAGCGCAGGCCCCTGCCCAGTCCTGAAGCGATGCTGGGACAGTCGTGGAATCTGTGGGTGGAAGCTTCCAAACTTCCTGGGAAGGATGGTGAGTGTCCACGCCTCCCGGCTCTCCACGCCCCCCAACTCCCCCTTCTCCGGCCCCGCTCCCCTCCCCCGCGCCGAGTCCTGTGACCCGCCCCCTCGGGGGGTCAGAGATGCTATCTTTTGCTGGGTTGTGGGACGCTCTCGGAGGTGCCCACACCTACCCTGTGCGTGCGTGAGCGTGCGTCACACTCCTGGCCACTGACCTGCCTCTCCCCTCCTCCTGTGTGTGTATATCTCCTAGGGACCGAATTGGATGAAAGTTTGAAGGAGTTTGGGAAAAACCGCGAAGTCATGGGGCTCTGTCGGGAAGGTGAGTCCAGACCCCCTGGTGGAGTTTGTACCCAACCTTGGGGAAGTTTTCTTGTTGCTTCAGCCCACCTTCCCTGCTTACCACATTGAGGATGTTGCTGAAGAGGAGGGAGGCGGGTGGGCAGAACATTTGGGAAAAAAAATCTGATTTCTAGGGGCTTTCTGTAATGGGCAGCAACCTGGATCCCTTCTGGAAATCTGGGTGCAGCCACAACAGCAATTCAAAGTGATGGGCATAGGAAGCAGCAAGGGAGTTTAACTTAGATCCCTTTAGTTACAGAAAAACATCCAGGAAAGGAAGAGTTCTAAGCAGTTGGAAAATAGTGCCTTTCTGAGGATGCTGTAGAGCCTTGACCAACCCCGGTTTATTAAGGCAATGAGAGTGGATTTTGTATTATTATTATTTTATTATTTTGGCTTTTTGAGATGGGTTTTTCATTGTAGCCTTGGCTGTCCTGGAATGTGCTTTTGGTCCTGAATTGAGAGATCTGCCTCTTGAGTGGTGGGATTAAAGCCATGTACCACTATGATGGGCATTTGAACTTTAAAAGTACTTTAACTTCCCTGTACCCTTGTTTGAATGGGATTTAAAGCAAATGGTTAGGATGCTACCTACCAAAAGATCATGCCAAGCAAGCAGTACACTCAGGATTTGTGTGATTGTTGGCTTTGCCAGATAAGGGGACAAGAATACATAATTTTACTAACCATAGTAAATCAAAGACTACTGGTTGATCTAAAAGTATTACTATCAATGAAAGTCAGGTTAGGAATCTGGAAACTTAGATTTGTTTTTGACAGTATCCTTTTTCTATGATTTTTAGATTCATAATGACTACCTGACCTGGGTAGTCTGGTGAGAAAGGTCACAGCCTTGAGTTGAATTTGGGATTCAGAGTACTGAGTTTACATGTCCCCGTGCAATTTGATTTCTCACCTGTAGCCATTTATTTTGGCAGAGTTTCTGTTCAGGACTCAAGAAGCAGAACTTTGGCAGCTGGATTTCTAAATCCACAACTGGCTCCTTCCTGTGCTGGCCTCAGAGTCACTGCAGGTTTTAGCGCTCACCTTTTCTTCCTTCTCCCTGCTTTGGCTTTTTCAGCTGGCCACAGGATCTGTTGGTATTGCCAAGAAGAGTAATACTGATGGTAACCCCATGAGTGCTTCTGGTTGGAACAGATTATCCGGGCAAATGAGCTGGTTTTTGGTGAGGATTGCTGTTTAAGGGGAGAGGAAAGAGAGAACGCACAGGACTTGTTGGTGATGTCGCAATAGGAAAAATCAGTTGTTAGTCCGGTTTTAGTAGTGACTTGGCAGTCCGCCTGGCCTTGAAAAATTAAAATCACTAAGTGGCAACTCTGGTAGGAAGTGTTAGAGTGGAGCTTTAGAGGTCCTAATCCACTCTTGTACCTAGTTTTCATTCCTGCTGTGGATGTAGTCCCTAAGTCTCTGAACACAGAATGCTGATTGTTGGTAAGTCCCTTATAGAGAGGATGAATGTGTTTCCCTGAGCACCTTGATCTCTGAGACTCAAGAACATTTAGCAGCTGAACCCATTTCTGTTCTGTTTGATATTTTCTATTGGGAATAGGGTCATTAGCAGATTTTCCACAAAGCTCTTAAGATCTCACACCTAAGGCCAAAGGGAGTAATGAACCTAGTTGTATTATCAGTCTATGAAACAGCTTGCTAGAGGTTGATTTGGGTGGTTTTTGTTGTTGTTTGATTAATTGACTTTGGCAGGAGCCCCCTTGTAACTCCAACTATTCTATAACTCACTGGCCTGGAATTTAACAGAGCTCTCCCTGCCTCTGCCTCTAGACTTCCAGAGTGTTGGAGTGAAAGGTGTGCACTACTCTATCCAGCTTACATCTTTAAAAAATTTATTTTTAAATTTTATTTACCTTTATTTTATGTGCATTGTTGTTTTGTCTGCATGTATGTCTATGAGAGAGTTGTGAGCTGCCATGTGGTTGCTGGGATTTGAACCCTGGTCCTCTGGAAGAGCAATCACATGACTGAGCTATCTTTTCAGTTAGCCAAATCACCCTGCCCCTTGCATCCTTTTAAATAAAGCCGCGCTCTCTGTTTAAAAGATGTTGCAGCTGTCAGGTCGTCTGGAGTTTATGCTTGCATATTTTCAGTAAAGACTGAAATTTTAGTTCAATCACTTCTTCATTTGTTACTGAGAAGTCCAAGCTTGAAAGACTGAGGCTACCTTGACTATACAAGAGGCTCAGGGAAGTGGTTTGGTTGGTGAAGTGCTTACTGTGCAAGCATGGAGATCTGAGTGTGGTTCCTAGACCCTACGTTAACCATCCACCCACACCCCACCAAAAGCTTGCCTGTTGGCACATGCTTTTAATCCCACTGAGGGAGGGAGGGAGGGAGGGAGGGAAGGAGGGAGGGAAGGAGGGAAGGAAGGAAGGAGGGAAGGAGGGAAGGAGGGAGAGCAAGCAATGAAGCAAGCAAGCGCTGTATCTCTGGGGCTTCCTGACGCCAGACTCATCTACTTGATAGGCTCCAGGTTAGTGAGAGACCATGTCTCAGACAACAAGGTGTATGGCTCCAGGGGAACTGTGGTTCCCCTGTGGTTGACTTCCGTCCTCTACATACATGCATGCTTCAAACACATTTACCCACACACCATCCTCCATCCTACAAAGAGAGACGATGAGACAAACCTGTATGTTCTATTAACACTGATAGGATGGACTTACCATTGTCTTTAGTTAAGATTGTCTGTCACCAGCCAGTGATGTTTTGGAATTAAATCTGTATGTATTTCTTTCATCAACAAAGTTAAATTGAGAAGAAATATGTGTATAATTTAACATATTAATGAAATACTAAAAGTGAAAAATTCTCCATTATGAAGATCTTTAGGAATATAATGGCCCTGATTCTTTAATTCTTCAATTTGTGATTTATTAGCCACAGTGTTAGCAAACATGGGATATGAAATTGGGTTTTTGATCTTTCTGAAAATAACTTTTATTTTGGAAAGGAGATAATAATACCTGTTTCCCAAGGTTATTGTAAAAGGTGAAAATAAATTAGATAACTTAAAATGACTTTTTGCACAGTAACTTCCTTGACCCTTTCAGCTCTGATAATGTTAGAACTGCCTTTGCAATTTGCTTTTTATCACCTTTTCAACTTAGGGCTCTTGAGTGGGCTTCTAGGAATCAGAGTTCTGAAAGTCTATGCAAAATAATGTCTATTCCTGCTCTCTAGGGCAAGTGGTTGAAGCCACCTTTCCTGGATTCTCAGTGCCAAATTTCAAAACTGCAAAGTTAGATGCTCTTCTGTTTTTTCTCTTTTCTCTGTAACTTGCTTTAGTCAGTTCATTCACACTCCAAAATTAATGCTGGGGAAGAATTGTGGAACAGTAAAGTTAGGTGGACCGAGCATTGCTCCCGAGTTAGGTAGGAGGTCATTTCTCATCCTCCTTTCAGCGCCTGGAGAATGTTAGGGTGGTCAATCAGTCACCTTTGAGAGATTAGCCCATTGCTCATCTGCATCCTGGTTTCATACTGCTCGCCTCTGTAACTTACAATATTAGTTGATGGCATTGTGGAGTTTGTTGAGTTAAAGTTGATAATACATTTTGAATTTTTAATAATCAAACTCAAACGTAAAGTTACGTTTTTCTTTAAAGTTTTAAATTAAAATTCTACTTTAAAAATTTTCACAAATTCTTTGTGAAGTTTACTGAAATTTATGTTCAAATGGAATTAATTGATGTGAATAATTTGGAATTTGATATCAATGTCTAGACCCATTGGGAGACTTAAAGAATGAACACTTTAAATAGTTTAATTTCATGGCAACTTTGCAGACCGTGTCATGGCAGAGATCAACAACAGTGGTGCTGGGCATTTGCTTCGCTTTGGAAAATGAGGTGTAGCTTCACTGAATCCACTTGAATGATAGCAAGCCACCTTGAGTATTCCTTTGATCTCTGTCTCTCTGAGAATATGTTTTATGTGATGGCTTTGTTGCGTGCATTCCTGGGCCAGAGACATTGTTGATGAAGGCATATTCAGCTTCTGTACACTGTTGGGCTCAGTAAACATTTTCTAAAAAATAGGTAAAATGACTGGGACTATTGGGAAGACGGAGGTACACTGCTGTGGAGTGCCTGGTTCAGATGCCTGACTGCCCATTGGTGGAGAGGTAGGACCTCTCTAGGAGAGGCCAGAGGTGGCAGTGTTTGATACTGCTTTGCCTAGTTTTAGTGCCCACTTACACTTTTCTAGAAGGAACAAAGATATCTGTTATCTCTTGCGCTTGATATTTAGGTGCAGTAGCACTCCAGCAACCCAGAATGGTGGTCCTTACCTGTGAGAGGTGATGTCCTTATCTAAGTAATAGGAATGCTGTTGAGCCCAGTGGAAAAGGAGGTTGGATGGTGCTGTGTCCAGCTAGGCCGGTGAGGGGCGGTGAGGGGCGTAGCCTCTCTACAGGGTTATCACAGCAGTATCCCCTGTCTTAGTCAAGGTTACTGTTGCTATTGCTATGATGGAACACCATGACCAAAACAACTTGAGGAAAAGGCTTATTTGTTTTACACTTCTTCATCACAATTCATTGTCAAAGGAAGTCAGGACAGGAGCTCAAGTGCCACAGGAACATGAAGGTGCTACTGATGCAGAGGGCATGCTTGCTCTCATGGCTTGCTCAGCCTGGGTTTTTATAGAACGCAATACCACCAGCCCAAGGATGTCACTACTCTCAGTGGGCTGGACAGTCAGTCCCTGATGGGTCACAAAGAACATGCCCTACAGGCTTGCCTACAGCCAGATCTTGTGGAGGCATTTCCTTAATTGAGGTTCCCTCCTCTTAGATGATTTTAGCTTTGTGTCAAGTTGTTAAAAACTGTCCAGCACACACCCTTTTTCTTTTCTAGTAGGGAAAAATGGTTTGTGGTTAGTGAACTGAAAATGGATAGGTGTTTATAACAGTACTGTTAAAGACACCACATTATAGACCCAAAAT